AATAATAAAGCATATAACAAACACTGTATATAACCATTATGAAACATGAATTTTAATTATTTGCATCTACATGCCTTACCTGTAAATCCATGTTATTGTATGCAATGATGGAACTTATTCATGGTATTAACTATGTACTATCTTTGTTATAATAATTTTTTCAATCCTAATTTCAACCTTTCCTGAGCTGGATTCACTTTGATTTTCAATTGTTGAATAAGATCATATATTTTTAAAGAAGGCCCAACTTTAAAACCTGTAAGGTCTATTATTTGGTCCTTAGTAAGTGTCAATAGAGTTTTTCCATCTATTTTACGTTTACTAAAATTATCGCAATACGTTGCACAATCGTTAACACGAAGAAATTGTGCAACGTCAAACACATTCCACTCAGATGGCACTAAGTCACCAGATTCAGAACTTTTTTGAACACCATCTGCTAGCCTTGGGATGTATTTGCTAGAGGCAGATGTTACCTATGAAAAAAAATTATTTTAAAAATTATATTTAAAAATGTTTATTAAATAAGATTTTGATATTATATTTAATAGATATATCTCAATAAAAAAATTTATTGATAATTTTTTAAAAATTTCTAAATATGTAAGCAAAATAAAAAATAAATCATACTCACATTAATATATGATGTTGCAGTTCGTTCTTTTGGTGGTGGAGGACTTTGTATCTCACTTTGAGTATCATTTAATGCTTGACCTTGTCCAGTAGTAGGACTAGGTAAAGTTTGATCAGGTCCAGCTGGCTCTTCAGCTGGTTCTGGTTCCCTATTTCTTTGTTCTGGTAGACTTTCCAAATCACATTCTCTTTCAATTTTTATTCCTTGAGCAGGCTCAACTTCGCGTTCGCGTTCGCGAGCCATGCTAATACGTTCACTGTGCCGAGGTAGAATGTTTTTCGCGCAAGATACTTTGTTGCTTTTCTTCAATTTTCTCTTAGCTTTACGTTTAAGGCCTCTTGGTGATTTTACTAAAAAAAAAAAAATAAAATAAAATAAAATAAATATATTCAAA